CTGACAGTTTGCCCTTAGTAGGACAATGCCTAGTGAGTATTCTCTCCCAATTAGTGGTTTCATAATCCAGCTCTGTAAACAAGTAGTTCCTGGTTAGAAACCACATGCAAAATGCAAGCATTAGGGCAATTGCTGCTATTAGTTATTACTGTCTAATTAGTCATCTACAATGTACAGCATGGTACCAAGCAAACTACTTATAATGATCTCCTGGAAAGGAAAACAGAAATACTCTATTATTTCCAAAAGTGTGACTTGAATGCAGTAATTTACTCACTCCAAACATGAGTCAGGCTGTATTTATTTCTTGTCTTGTGCATCTGAGCTAACTGCCTTGAGGTGGTGGTATAAAACTCAGTTGCTGTGACTCGCTTCTTGAAAATTTATTTTGCTCCTTAAAATCTTGGCCTGCTTGACCTCAGCAGCCTTCACCAGTTTGAAAATGCAGGTTATAATCCTCTGTAGGGATTTAGCCAGGTGTCTATTACAGCATGTAATCTGTGATATAGCTTCCAATATTCACGCTGCAGAAAGGTTAAGCCCCTCTGTCTTTGTTCCTGAGTAAAAGAGTCCATGAGGTGTTAGTGTGGACAGGAAACAGATTGAAAGAAGCAACATCTTCAATCAAGCCCTAAGCCTGTGTGGATGCCACTGAGGAGCCTTCCTGATGAGAGACGTTTCTTCACCTGAGTGGCAGCGCTCAGACTTTAACCCTCAAATGGCAGCTGCAGCACTCCTGCCGGCTTCCCTGCTGATGTTCAAAGGTCATACTACTGCTAGATTTCTGTTTTTAACCAAAATCCTCACACTAGGGTCACTGTCCAATCCATCACCAAGCTGTTCCTGAAGATGCACTTGTTATGACACGCTCCTGCCCAGCAGGAGTAAGGACAGCCCCAGCACCACATCCCAGGCAGGGACACTTGCAGAGCACCTCTGACACCACTATAAAAGTTCAAGCCGGCTGGCACAAACAGACATCACTGTGTACTGAAACAAACTAAATCCAGCTAATTGAGGGGAAACCCTACTGGGACCAGTCAGCCCTAGTCAGCAGCTTCTCAGGTAACTCTTGATTTTCCCAGGCTGGGCTGAGCTTGATCAAACCATGTGGTACAGCCACGTGCCACTGCCATGCCTGCAAAATAGGTACCTCTTCCTAAAGCCAAAACTTTTAGACTATAGGTCAGTAGTTTTGGTAATATTTTGAGTTCCATGAGTGGCCTAAAACAACTTAGCAATAAACAGTAAAACAACAATAAACAACAACAGCAAATTAATTTGCCTGCCTGCAAGGAGCTATTTAATATTAATCTCCAATAAATGAACAGGAAAATAGTAGGTTTCTTTTAGATGGTCGTGGTGTTGAGTAAGCATCAGCTGCCTTTTACTCTAATTGGCAGTAAAGTGTTTAGAAGTATTTATTAGTGTTTAATTATTTATAAATCACCTAATGGCTTAAATATCATTTTGGAAAGTTATTAATATGTTCCACCTTGTTCAGCTGAAGAGCTGCTGCTTGGAAGGCTTAAATGAAGATCTATTTACAGCTCCCTGCTAGTTGCAAAATTACTTAGAGCTGCTAATGTTCCGGTCCTTTGGATGTCCCCAACACGGAATGGGCTTAGTTTTCACAAATTGGGGGAAGTTTTTCTTTGTTGTATTCATTTTACTGAGACGGAGGTCTTAAAGAGGATTATCACAGAGATCAAGACATTAAAATATGTAACTAATCCCAGTTAAATTAATTGTTTTCGTACTAATGTGTACTAAGGGATGTTCATGTAGGATAAGACCCCTTTACACTGTTTTGGTAGTGTAAGTAAGACTTAAAATGCAAATTACATTTAAGATAAATTATAAGCCATTTAAAGCCAAGTTGCTGGTAGAGAAAATGGGAATCTGACTCCAATCCTCTGAAGCAATAATGACATTAAATATTTCAAAATTACATCAGTAACTGCCATGTCAGTAGGCAGAGGAGAACTTACCTAAACTCATCATTTCTCTCCCCTCCCTGTGTTAGAATTCAAGACATTCATTTTATTGGCTTAGATTGATTCAGATTTTTTTTTCTCCTATTTTCCTCTTTAGAATACTGAACTCCAGACAGGTTATTTTGGTATCATCAAATCATTCACCTCTTAAAAGAGAATTGCATGCTATAAAATTAAAAGAATCATTCAATTTATTGGGGAGGATATGCCTGAAGCTTCTTATTAAGATTCTCATTTGCAGCGATGTCCTTACCCCAGGGTCTTAGTGGCAGGTTGTGGCTGGTAAAGAGTTTCAGATGCAGGACAGCACTGTGATTCTGACCCATTTCTCACTATGCACTCTGCCATTAATTGGAACGGCCTCA